ACTTACAACGACCCATGAACCTCCAAGTAGGGTTTAGGAGTTTATGGTTTCGGGGGTTCTGCAGATCCCGCTTTAAGTTGCCGGTTTTGCGTTGTTGAGCTCTTCCAAGGGTGTTTAGCGTCTAGTGCCACGGGCTGAAAAAGTACGCAGACATGGGAGCCGGTGGCATACTGCAATGAACACGACAAGGTAGCCGACTCTTCTTAGGGCTATTGTCTTTCCGTGCAAGGACCGGAGGGCTCAGTCAGTTTGGTTACAAATCGGTTCCGCACTAAATCCCCTCCCCACCTCGGATTGAAGGTGTAGGTTCCATTAAAGTCAGCATTTTTAGGGTTATGCAAAGGGCCTGAACAATTATCAACACTATTTTGGGGGTTCCTTACTATGGTTATAGTCTATTATACCCCGAAACCCTATTCTACTATATTCGAACTATTAGGAGTCTACCAAATTCTTGTGACGTTGGTAGTTTAAGGCTGGACGGAGGGTTCTCCAGATTCGCAACTGGGGCCTTTGCGCGTATGGGTAGTTCTCTAAAATAGGGTTCCTTTTTGGATCCTTTTTCTATAACCGTGCCGTACTGTATTGGGGACTAAAAAGGGATGAACTACCCATATTGCGAGAGCAAGGTATAGGGAAGGACGTCCTAGATTTTGCATGCTGGCTGCACGGGCCTAAACCGTAAGGGTGTAAGGTTTGGGGCTACATACACCAACGATACAGGCATCATAGGACAGGATCAAAGTGGCGACTCTCCTCCAGAAAACAGAAACCTGACAATCACCGACATTATTCCTTTGGGCTCCTTACTAAACAGGACTACAATGGATCCCCAAACACCCAAAATCTGAATACTAAGGCCCTTAAATCATAGAAGCCTGTTTGTAGATGCCTTCAAGGTTGAGGTTTAGGGCTTACCCAAAGGCCCCAGAGTAGTTCTTTTTTGCGGCTTATATTTAGGATCCGATTAGGTAATCCCAAGAAGGAACTACTATGTTACTATGGGGGCCTGTGGGTATGCCCTTTGCGAGGCCCGGCTTTCTCGTAACACTGCTTATGTAAACCTTCGAGCAACAAAAGCCCCTGAAAACAAAGCTCCCGAAGTTGAAAACGAAGACAAAACCATTGCTCAAAAACGTCTCGGTCGGCTGGTGCCGCCTCCTGAACCCTAAACCCCAAACCCTAAACCCCAAACCCTAAACCCTAAACCCTAAACCCTAAACCCTAATCCCTAAACCCCGCCTCCTGAAAGGCTTCCGGCGCCGGGGCCGTCGGCGGTCGAACCGCCGGGCAGAGCACGTACTCTGCGTTGCCGAAGTCGGGGCTTCTGTATGGAGAAGGCTGAATCAATCCAAAACCTTAGTTGAAGGAAACTACAGGTGGGGAGTTTAGGGTACATAGGGCTTCTGCATGGGGAAGGCTGAATCAGTCCAAAACCTGCAGTTGAAGGTTTAGGTTTTAAAGTTTTTAAGGTTTAAGGTTTAGGGTTTAGGGTTTAGGGTTAGGGTTTAGGGTGTAGGGTTTAGATCCAAAACCTGCAGTTTTAGGTTTAGGGCTTAAGGTGTAAGGTTTCGGGTTTAAGGTTTCAAGCTTAAGGTTTAAGGTTTAAGGTTTCAGGTTTATAAGGTTTAGGGCTTAGGGTTTAAGGTTTAGTTGAAGGAAACTACAGGTGGGTAGTTTAGAGTTTAGGGTACATAGGGCTTCTATAAGGTCTATAGATCTTCTATAAGGCTCGCATAGCGGGAACTACCCACCTGAAAATGTCCTAGATTTAGGGCTTAAGGTTTAAGGTTAAGTTTAGGGTTTAAGGTTCAGGGTTTAAGGTTTAGAGTTTAGGGCTTTAAGGTTTAAGCTTAAGGTTTAGGGCTTAGGGTTTAAGGTTGAGGTTTATGGTCTTTTTTGAGCCACCTTTTCCACCTGCAGCTCCAATCCACACGCGGAGGTTTAGGGTTTAAGGTTTAGGGTTTATAGGGTTTAGGGTGTTTGCTGGGAGCTAGGATAAGGGGGACCCTTGGGGATATAGACCCTCTCAATAAGGTCCCTTTTAAGAGAGCCAAAAGTAGGTTTCAGAAGGGATACCCCCCTAAACCATAAACACTAAACCCTAAACCCTAAACCCTAAACCCTAAACCCTAAACGCTTTAAGGGGTACCCCAAATAATACTACCTTTTTGCAGCCTTTCGGTTTAGGGCTCATCAGGGCTTTGGGGTTGAAGGCCAGGGCGCAAGGTTTGAGTGATGTTTAGGGTTTAGGGTTTGGAGTTTCGGGGTTTCGGGGTTTAGG